TTTTAAATTGAATTTCTTTTTTATCTTTTGTAATTTTCTTAATCTTATCTGGTCCTCTTTTAGATCTTGATTTTTTGTAGGTCATCTTATATATGGTAATCTAATTCTTTAGGATTTAATTGTATACTTTTCATATCTTGGTTACTTTAGATAATTATTTTACTTGGGGTATTTTGGGTAGTTTCAATTTTTAAGAAAAATCAAAGGTCATTCTTGAAATTTGGCTTTGTTTTTAGGCTATTCATGTGTATATCCCGGTAAATATCTTGGAAGGAAATTGGGGGAGAGCAAAGAAGGAAATGGGGAGAAGATGAAGTAGGGTTGATTTGGGGGAAAATTTGAGTGAGAATGGGTTCTTTCGTGAATGAATCCACGAGATTTGAAAGTTTTTATTTTTTCCCCTGCCACTTCACTTTGTAGCCCACATTTGTCATCCCACTTTGTATGTGTGGTGCGATTGATTTATGTTTGATACTAACATTTAAAACATAATTATAATAATATTGACTTGTGGATGCCATTTACTTGTATTACACAAGGTCATGAATTTACTTTTTACTAAAATAAATTTACACCTTCAGCAACAGAAATTTCAATCTCAAGAGCTCAACCATGGAATTTTCCATTACAAAAATAATAATAAAGAAAAGAAAAAGGAAATCCATAACTGATAATATTGTGAAGAATTTTTCCTCACGTCCAAAAAATATTCTTAAAGTGGCCCCATGTGAGTAAAATATTGAAAAAAAGAACCCCCCACCCCCCAAACCATTGTGTCCATTCTAGTGCATTTATGTGTTTGCATCTTCAGTACGTATAGTGCAGTGGTGGTCAGTAGAAGGCACCTAAATTCACCTTCCACGGATAAATTAAGAATCAGCAAAAATATGTGGAAGCCAGAGGTAGAGGAAGGATCAAGACTTGATCGAGAAGTATTAAGTGATAATAGAAGTGATCAAGAAAAATTACATACGGTTTTCTCACATGTGTCGTTGGTCTTCGGTTGAGGCTCTTCGGGGTAGTGTGCCTAACCTCTAGGAGGTGATTCGGTCGTCCATTAACAAAACTACTAATATTGTTAATCTAATAGGACTCTACCGCCAAAGTTTTATATTTATCCTTGTTTCGCGCGGGTAGTCGCTAACAATTAAAAAAGATTCATACGATTGTGTAAGAGACAAACCTCTTGAGACAAAGTTCCAAAAATGGGTGCTTTATTGATGAGAGTTCCAAGTGAAAATAAACAGAATGCCTCCAAGGGGCGCAAGCACACGAGTATTGAAAAGGTATAATTAAAGTTAATCTAAGAAATTGAAATTACATAATCTCTGTTTGAGAGTATTTGATTCAAGGTCTTTTTTTTCTATGTCTGCTCTTCCTTTTTATATTCACTTGATGATTTCTTCATGGCAAACCACTTGAAAATTGTTTGATTGCTCTATAACTACCAATTTCTTCATTGTGGCTAACTTGCCGTGGAACTACCGTCTCTAACTGCTGCCATTACTCTTTGTACTTCAACTGCCTTCAACTGGATTCCTTGAATCGTGGAATGTGATAAGATTGCTCAATAACTGCTTCAATAACTGCTATTTTGAATAACCATAATAACTTATGTTTGCTAAAATCTTGGACGATTCCAAGGTTTGGACGAGAACGGGGTCATCGCTCTGGGCGATCATAAGGCACTCCATTCACATGGAGTGGGCCCCATGTGAGTAACATATTGAAAAAAAGAACTCCCTCTGTGGTTGCATTTTTTGTACGGATAGTACAGCGTGGTCAGCAGAAGACACCTAAATTCACCCTCCACAGATAAATTAAGAATCAACAAAAATATGTGGAAGCTAGAGGTAAGGGAATGATCAAGACTTGATCGAGAAGTGTTAAGTGATAATAGAAGTGATCGAGAAAAGTTAGTACAATTAGGTTGATAATATTTTCGGGTAGTAAAATAGGCAAAAACCATTTAAAAGAGTTTAATAAGGGAGGCCCGTTAGCACCCTTCTTTTTTCCAGTTCAATTTATTGAGAAAAGAACAATTTACCATTATTGAAGCGTCATTGGTGAAGGCTTCGGATGGTAAAGAAAAACATCCTCTTCTTCCATTAATTTTCTAAATTATTTTGTCTCATTTCAATCTATTTTAAAATCTCAAGTGTTTCCTGAAACCCACAATTAAGTTATTCTAGTTGAAGTTTGCAAAAAAATCCACGAACAAATGAAATTTCTGATCAAAGGTTTTGAATATTAGGCCAAAAGTTCGCGTAAAGTTTCCTTAAAATTTTAGTACCAAACCCTTCAAGAGTTTCGATTTTCATATAAAATCAGACGCTGTCGTTTTACTAGTTTAAAATACTACCTAGCTTCTGTTCTAGAAATAATCCAAGTCATTCTGAGAAGAACAATGAATATTTGTTGGATGATTTTAATTAATGGTCCTAAGTCCTAACCCACAACGTGTGGCAACGTGTTGAGCATAACGGAGCAGCCTCAATATTGCCCAGTGGGATCACGGTCGGGATAATATAACATGTTGCATGTGATTTTTTTTTCCTTCTCAGCTCATTCACCGTTTCTGTCGCCTTTTGTGCTTGTTGGTCTGGTTCTGTTCTTGCCAAGCTTTGGTTCGGGGTGGGGACTTGGTCTTCAGATGTTCCTACCGTTGTGGCGTTTGGTTGGGTTGGGGATCCGTTTTCTCTGGCGTTTGCTCCCTCCCACCCCAGACTTGGTCCATGGCGATTATTTTCTTGCCCCTGCTGGTCTCGTGGCTGTGGCGTTGGGTTTGTGGTGGTGGCACTCCTCGGCGGTGGTTTTGGACTCTGGTGAATCTGCTGGCCCAGCTTTGGGTGGTTTTTTTGTTTTTTCGTTTTTTAGGTTTAGGGCCTGTTTGGCTGTTGATGTAGCCTATGCTTGGGCATTGGAGCACTTAATCTCTCTGAGGGGGGCATTGTGTAGGAGTTTTATTCTCCTTGTATCCGTTGGCTATTTCGATGATCAATGAATATTATTTTGCTCAAAAAAAAAAAAAAATAAAGGCGGCAGGAAATGTAATTATTTTAAGGGGTCAAGAACTAGTAGACGTTGAACTATACTGTTAAACAATATTAATATATTTGTTGATGTGTAATGTGTTTTTTTGAAGTCAAAGAAATATTTGTTTATTTTGTCTAATCCAAGGTAGGGATGGCAATTCGAATTGTGAAAACCGAAACCCGCGGTTAACCGAACTGAATGGGGCGAAAAAAACCGAACCGATGGTGCATTGGGGCGGTTATGGTTTTGATTTTAACGAACCGCTTCATTTATGGACGAGTTTGGTATTTAACTATGGTGCACCGAACCGAACCGATTACTAGTTAAAAAAAAAAATTGAACAATTGGGCTTTCCATTTTTATTTCTCAAAATTAATTGGGCAATTTTTTTTTGGGCTTCCCAAAATTTTGGCCCAATTAATATTAACTAAACTTTAATCCAATAATCCATACCCCAGTAGCCCAATTCAATGTCAATATACCCTACACATAATTAAAATGGAAAAGTTC